GGCAGGAGGATTCTTCGATAGCAGATGTTTAATCAGGACCCCAGGGCGATGGTGGTATAGTAGGGGTGGCGGCTCCTACTCAAAAGCATGGCGGAAGAGCTCCGTCTTGCAGGCCCTGCGGAATTGCATGAGGTCCCGCAGGGCCCTGATCTCCTCCGGGAGCTCATTCCACCAGGTAGGAGCCGCCACCGAAAAGGCCCTGGTCCTCGTGGCGGCTAGTTTGACATCCTTAGGGTCCGGGATGACTAATAAATTTCGGGCCCCTGACCATAGTGCTCTTGGGGGAACATACGGGGAAAGGCGGTCCTTCAGGTAGGTTGGACCCTGGCCATGTAGGGCTTTATAGGTAACGACCAGCACTTTGAAGCGAATCCGGTACGCTATTGGCAACCAGTGCAGCGCTTTCAGCGCAGGCCGCACATGGTCCCTTCTAGAGAGACCCATTAACAGCCTGGCCGCAGCATTCTGCACCAGTTACAGCCTCCGGATTTGCGACAAAGGCAGCCCCATGTAGAGAGCGTTGCAGTAGTCTAGCCTTGAGGTGACCGTCGCGTGGATCACTGTGGCCAGGTCGTCACGGTCAAGGTAGGGGACCAACTGCCGTGCACGCCTAAGATGGAAAAAGGCGGACTTGACAGTGGCTGCCACCTGGGCCTCCATCGTTAGGGTGGAGTCCAGAAGCACCCCCAAACTCCGAACCCCAGAAGCTGGCACCAAAGGTACCCCATCCAAGGACGGGAGAGCGTTATCCTCTGAGAGTCAACATCTCCTGGTGATCCCCGGCCCGAAGGACGGCCGCCTTGCCTCGACCAGGGCCATGGCTTTCTCCGCCCTGGCCCCCGCCTGGTGGAACAGGCTCCCTATTGAGATCAGGGCCCTGCGGGATCTTACGCAATTCCGCAGGGCCTGCAAGACGGAGCTCTTCCGCCAGGCGGGCGTCCACCCTTGCCCCCCCCACCGAGGTTGCGGCCTCCCACCCACTGATAACCGGCCACACCCAGTTACATCAACGGGCCGGATTCCTCCCTACGGGGCAAGCACGAGGACCGATTTTATATGTTTCAATGTGTTTTAAATTTTTATTGTATTTATCAAAACATCGTGACCCGCCCTGAGCCCGTTTACGGGATGGGCGGGATGTGAATGCGGGAAATAAAATCATAAAATAAAAATACCTGACAGCAGGAAGCTGGCCAGCCCCCCTCCTGGGAAGAAGCTGCCCCGGTGGATGCTGGCGAAGCAGGCCTTGGTCCCCTCGCCCTCCAGGGCGGCCCCCTCCTGCCAGGCGGTACTCGTGTTCAGCCAGTTCCACCGCCTCAAGCAGCCGTCCATGGCGGTGTTCATCTGGAAGAGAAGGAAACGAAAAAAGCAGAAGGTTCCTTTTATCAGGGGTCGTTTCGTAGAAAAAGAGCTAGGGGAACTCATTAGCATAACTCATTAGCATACACCACACCCCCTGACATCACCGGAAGTGTGTCATAAGGCCACACACCCCGCCCCCAACGGTCCCGGCCGCCACCAGCCTTACAGCTCCACTGCCGAGCCCCATGAGGGGCCCGGCGGTGGACCTGCAAGGCCGGCGGGAGTGCGAGGAAGCCCCGCGAAGGCCCTCCCTGGCCCCAGGCAGGCAGGGGTGGGGAGAGGCAGGGAGGAAGCAACTTACCCTCCCTCTTCTCCTGCCCCCTCCTGGCTGAATGAGGGCCGGAAGCGGGGCGGCCGGAAGCAGGGGGCAGGACTTCGTCATGTGCCCCGCCCCCCGTACCTCACCTGGGGGAACCGCGATCCCCCCCGAAATGACCTCTGCCTTTTATCATATGTGGTGGACTTGTGATAGAGCTGTGAACTTTTGGACGGAGGTCCATAATGAAATGCAGAAAATTTTGAAATGTTCTTTCAAAAAAGAACCAGAAGTATTACTTTTGGGTCTTAAAATGGAAGAAGTGAATGGTATTTGATTACAACGGCCAGAATGACATATGCTCAATGTTGGAAGCAAGAAAGAACACCTGAAGTATGGGAATGGATAAGGAAGCTACTCTTTATGGCTGAAATGGATAAAATGACAAGAAAGTTGAACAACAAAGAAGATGAAGAATTTTTTTGCGGATTGGAAGGACTTTAAAGACTATATAGAGAAACATTGGGATGTCGAAAATAAACTTCTTTGCTTTAGTCATTATTAAGAATAGACTTTAGAAATGTTGGAAAGAAATTGTTATCGAATAGGTTACCTATGAGACTGAAAAAATATAAGTAAGGTAAGTAAAAGAAATTGTGAACCTTTAGATGATATCAAACTGAAGGGAAAGATTAAGAGAGGAAATGTGGTGGAAGCCGGGAGAAGGGGTGGGAGGGGAAAGGGATGCATTAAGAAATGGAGAACTGGTTAATTTTGGACCTATTTTATATCCCATTAATAAAAACTTGTTTTAATTTAAAAAAAGAGAGAAGGAAACCCACAGGAAGGGAGGAAGGGCAGGGAAGGGGGGAGGTTCCACGTGCGTCCCCCCCATGGTGCGGAACGCCCCCCCCCGCTCTCCAGAGTCTCAGGTGCAAGTAAAAGACACCAGAGCATCCCCAGGAGAGACTGACATTCTTTCGGCACACGGCAGGACGACAGCACAGCCCAGCCTACAAAAGGTTCTGAAAATAGCCCCCCCACGGCCCCCCCTCCCCGTTCACTTGCTCACAGCAAAACCTGATGTTTGCCCCACGCCCGGAGGCACCAGGCAGACACACCTAGGCCAGCACCAACGCGCCCTCTAAGCTGTGGAGTCCCGCGAGCAAACATTCTACTTTGTGAGCGACTGGCATTCAAGTGGTGAGCGGGCGATTGGGCTCCTGCGTCAATTAGTTTGCCCTCCTTCCTGAGCGAAGGCAAAAATGTGTGAGCCAGAGGCTACAATACTGTGAGCTCAGTCAAAATGCAAAACTATTGGGGGGAAATTCAGAAAATAATAAGAGAAGTAGTAAAGATCGAACTGCCACTTAAACCCAAAATTTATTTGTTAAATATGATTCCAAAAGAATATGATTGTCATGATAGATATGTGATGATTTATATTTTGACAGCAGCAAGAATTCTTTGGGCTAAATACTGGAAATCAGATAAAGTACCACAAAAAGAAGAAATAATCTATAAACTGATGAATGTAGCAGAGGTTGACAAACTAAATGTAACTCTATATGGGAAAGATGAAAAGGTTTTTGAGAAAAGGTGGGCGGGACTGTACGATTGGATAGAGAAAGAACAAAGTAATAGACTCTAATGCATATGTACTTTTGTATATATAAATTTGTCTTGTACAATTTATAAAAGTATAAATAAACTTGTTTTTAAAAAAAGAAAAAAATACTGTGAGCTCAGCTTAGAGGGAACACTGGCCAGCACCCCAAAAGCCTCCGAAATATCCCATGTTTCAGGCAAACCTCCTTCCCACCATTATGTACCCCAGAGGACGCTGCGATTGGGGACCCAGAATCGGCTGGCTCCCCCAAGCTTCAAGGCGGCCAGACTGGTGACAACCAGGGCCCGGGCTTTTTTGGTGGCGGCTCCACTCTGGTGGAATGAGCTCCCGGAAGGAGAAGAGGAGATTGGATTTATACCCCGCCCTTCACTACCCGAAGGAGTCTCAGAGCAGCTTACGAACTCCTTTCCCGACCCCTCCTTACAACAGACACCCCGTGAGGTGGGCGGGGTTGAGAGAGCTCTGACAGAAACGGCTCTTTTTCAAGAACAGCTCTGACAGAACCAGGGGTCATTTCCTGCGGGAGCACACAGGAGCAGAGCTCCGGCAGTAAGGAGCCCAGGGGGCGGGCCCATGCAACAAGCCCCACCCCCTGCTCCCAGCAGCCCTCAGTCAAGCCACGAGGAGCAAGAAGCAGCCAGGTGAGTTGCAGAGCTCCCCCCATCCCGCCTTCAGGTACAAGCTCTCTGTCCTCTGCGAGGACAGATCTGCGCGTCCCGTCCCCCCCCATAGCTAGCAATCCAAAACAGTCCAGTGGAGCCTGAGCGGTGGGTGTTGCCTTCTGACACACTTCCGGTGATGTCAGGGGGTGTGGCATATGCAAATGAGTTGTGCTAATGAGTTATGCTAATGAGCTCCTGCACCTCTTTTTCTACGAAATGACCCCTGTATAGAACGATGGCTTGCCGCAGGTCACCCAGCAGCTGCAGGTGGAGGAGTGGGGAATCAAACCCGGTTCTCCCAGATTAGAGTCCGCGCACTTCACCTCGACACCAACCAGGGCCCTGCGGGACCTCCCACAGTTCCGCAGGGCCTGCAAGACGAAGCTCTTCCATCTACTACCTCCGCCACCACCAATTGACATCTACATTGGAGGAACCCTGACCTGCTGGACCCTTAAATACTGCCTGAGCCAATCACCCGAGACAGCTGAAGACCAGGGAGCCGACCGTAAACACTTTATTATGTCTTGGTTTCAACACTGTGTTTATACGAACTGATGCGACTTTATGTTATCGCATTGTACGTGATTTTAGTCTGTCTGTAAGCCGCCCGGAGCCGGCCTTGGCCGGAAGGGTGGGATAAAAATCTAACAAACAAACAAACAAATAAATATAAATAAATAATAAGTGAAGAGCGATGGCTGGGGGGGGACACATTGCTAGTGGCAGATAAAAGCGACGCTAGTAGCAATGGCTTTAAGCATAAAATTGCAATCCTTTTCTTTGCTTAGCGTCCACGGTTGCTTGCTTGACTTCCACATTTGCGCTGTTATTGGGTCTGCAACCCATGGGACTGTGGGTGCCATAGACAGCGGTCATGTGAAGAAGAAGAAGAGAAGAGATTGGATTTATACCCCACCCTTCACTACCTGAAGGAGTCTGAGAGCAGCTTAAGAACTCCTTTCCCTTCCCCTCCCCACAACAGACACAGACGCCCTGCGAGGCAGGTGGGGCTGAGAGAGCTCTCTCCAGCACTGCCCTTGAGAGAACAGCTCTGAAAGGAACTTGTGACTAACCCAAGGTCACCCAGCAGGTGCAAGTGGAGGAGCGGGGAATCAAACCCGGTTCTCCCAGATTAGAGTCCGTGCACTTGACCGCTACACCAAACTGGCTCCCAGCTGGAGAAAAGTTGACACCCAGCTGAAGGCCGAAGGCCGGGCGCGGCCATTTGGCATTCTCGGTTGCAAGCCAGAGACTTCCGCTCCCATGGCAGAGGGTGCCACGCCCCCCCTCAGGCCGATTGAATAGGGCTGCTCAGGGCTCTTTCTGTAGCAGGAACTCCTTTGCATATTAGGCGACACACCCCTAATGTAGCCAATCCTCCAAGAGCTTACAGTAGCCCCTGGAAGAAGAGCTCTGTAAGCTCTTGGAGGATTGGCTACATTAGGGGTGTGTCGCCTAATAGGCAAAGGAGTTCCTGCTACAGAAAGAGCCCGTCGCCGGCTGCTCCTTTCCTGCATTTGAGACTCCCCTCCGACCCGCAAGCCCTTACGGGAATGAGCAAATCCTTCTGGGGGATGAGCAGACCCCCAACGCCGATGCGCATCTCCGGGAACGGGTGATCAATGATGGCGTGAGAAACCTCACAGAGAGTCAGCTTGTAACTCCTGTCCAGTTCGAGCGCCACGCAGTCCCCTTCGTTCTTCACCATGATCTGGTAAAACGAGAAAGTTAATTTAAGAGACAGGCAGTAGCCCGCCTCGACTCTCCACCAGCCGGGGGTGGCGGTTCGAGGGCTGCGCTAAGAGCCGGAGGCACCAGGTTCAGATCCCCACTCTGCCCGCTTGGCTGGGTGACCTCGGGCCAGGCAGGCACTCTCAGAGGTGGCTGCGAGCGAGGTTCCCTCCAAGCTGTGGAGTCTTGTGAGAACAAATTCTACTTTGTGAACGCCTGGCATTAAAGTCGGGAGCGAGCGAGTTGGCTGATGAATGAATTAGTTTGCTCTGGAGCCCCATCCATCCTGAGCGAAGGCAAAAATGTCTGAGCCAGAGGCTAAAAAACTGTGAGCTGGCGCACACTAATTCAGCTTAGAGGGAACACTGCTGCCACGGAAGCTTGCTGGGAGCGCTTGGGCCAGTCAGAGTCTCTCAGCCTAGCCCACCTCACAGGGTTGTTGTGAAGATGAAAGGGAGGGGAGGGGAGCAGCATCAGCCGCTTTGGGTTCCCAATGCGGGTATGACTGAAACAAACAAATCAAGTGGGACCCTGGTGGGCTACTCTTAACACCCCACCTGGCTTCCGCCAGCACCCACCCCCCAACACTACATTATGTTTCCTGCCGAGATACTAATTACCAGGGGTCATTTCCTGCAGGAGCGCACAGGAGCGGAGCTCCGGCAGTAAAGAGCCCAGGGGGCGGGCACATGCAACAAGCCCCACCCCCTGCTCCCAGCAGCCCTCAGTCAGAGCAAGAAGCAGCCAGGTAAGCTGCAGGGGGCCCCCCCCGGCCCAAAACAGTCCAGTGGCACCTTTAAGACCAAGTCTTATTCAGGTACAAGCTCTCCCTCCTCTGTGAGGACAGATCTGCACGTCCCCCCCCCCAATAGCTAGCCATCCAAAACAGTCCAGTGGAGCCTGAGCAGTGGGTGTTGCCTTCTGACACACTTCTGGTGATGTCAGGGGGTGTGGCATATGCAAATAAGTTATGCTAATGAGCTCCTGCACCTCTTTTTCTACAAAATGACCCCTGCTAATTACTATTGTGGGGGGGGGGGTCATCAGGACTCCTGGGCAACGCTCCCTCTAAGCTTGGGAGTCTTGTGAGCAAAGATTCTACTTTGTGAGCTCCTGGCATTAAAGTTGTGAGCGAGCGATTTGGCTGCTGCCTGAATTCGTCTGCTCTGGAGCCATCCCTTCTTGAGCGAAGACAAAAAGATGTGAGCCAGAGGCTAAAAAACTGTGAGCTAGCTCACACTAACTCAGCTTAGAGGGAACACTGGACTTGTGAGGGTGAAATGGAAGAGATGAGGCAGACCTAAGCCGCTCTGAGAGGCGGGGTACAAGTACAGTAAAAAAAAATTTAAAAACTACCCCTGCAGGGAAGGCAGCGGCAGTTTCAAAGGCTGCCGTTTCACAGGCGGTTCAGGGAAGGTAAGCAGAGGGCGGAAACGAAGTCACGTGTCTGTGCCACTGGCGGTTAAGTCGAACTCACACAAAGAACGTCGGTGCCCCTCCCGTGCCGCTCAATTAACACGAAGGCCTTCTGAACAGAACTGACAGTGTTCCCTCTAAGCTGAGTTAGTGTGAGCCCACTCACAGTTCTTTAGCCTCTGGCGCACATATTTTTGCCTTCACTCGGGAAGGAGGGCCGCAGAGCAAACTAATTGACGCCAGAGCCAAACCGCTCGCTCACCACTTTCATGCCAGGAGCAGAATTCTTGCTCACAAGACTCCACAGCTTAGAGGGAGCATTGGACCTGCCGTGCGGAAATGCGCCACGCCGAAGGTGGCCGTTGGTGACGGGGATAAGACTTGCCAAGCTACGCTATTCTATCTCTGTGGAAAGCCCACAGGGGAAATCATTGGTCGTTTTGGTGCAGGACGTCACCAATATGTTGACGACACCCACCGGCATCTCTTCTTCTAAACGACCTGGGGACGTTGCGGAGAGCCTAACCGAGTTCCTCCCTGCTGTGGTCACTGGAGTCCTGTGTCCAGTTTTGGGCACCACATTTAAGGAAGAATGTTGACAAGCTCGAGCGTGTCCAGAAGAGGGCAACCAGGATGGTGAGGGGGTTGGAATCCAAGTCTTACGAGGAAAGGCTGAAAGAGTTGGGTCTGTTTAGCCTGGGAAAGAGAAGGCTTAGAGGGGACAGGATTGCAGTCTTCAAGTATTTGAAGAGCTGTCATGTAGAATATGGAGCAGATCTATTCTCTCTTGCTCCAGATTGCAAAACTAGATCTAATGGGTGGAAATTACAAGGGAGTGGATACCAGCTGAAGATCAGGAGAAACTCCCTAACTGTCAGAGCAGAGGTCATTTCGGGGGGGATCGCGGGGGGATCACAGTTCCCCCGGGCGAGGTACGGAGGGGGGGCACATGACGAAGCCCCGCCCCCTGCTTCCGGCCCTCATTCAGCCAGGAGGAGGCAGGAGAAGAGGGAGGGTAAGTTGCTTCCTCCCTGCCTCTCCCCACCCCTGCCGGCCTGGGGCCAGGGAGGGCCTTTGTGGGGCTTCCTTGCACACCCGCCGTCCTTGCAGGTCCACCGCTGGGCCCCTCATGGGGTGTGTGGCCTTATGACACTCTTCCGGTGATGTCAGGGGGTGTGGCATATACTAATGAGTTATGTTAATGAGTTCCCCTAGCTCTTTTTCTACGAAACGACCCCTGTGTCGGAGTGGTTGAGCAGTGGAACAGACTGCCTCGGGAGGTGGTGGAGGCTCCTTCGCTGGACGTTTTCAAGCGGATGCTGGACAACCATCTTCCGGGTATGCTGTAGGGCTGTCTTTCAGCTATGCTCCTGCAGAGTGCGGGGGGTTGGACTAGATGACCTGCAAGGTCCCTTCCAACTCTCACATTCTACGATTCTATGATATGGCTACGGGAGAACAAGCTGAAACGGAACCCTGACATGAGGGAGGTCATGCCGGCTGCTCTTGAGGGACGTGGTGCTCCCCACTTTTGATGGGGGCCAGATGACGCTCACTGACTCAGCTGAGAGCCGTGGGGCTTTCCCACCAGGCCGTTGCTTAGGACAGAGCCGCTACCAAGAACAGCTGCGGTAAGGCCCTTTATGTCAACGCCAACAGCCTGTGATATACGGGATACTGATTTGGGCCATGTTTTTTGTTACCATCTTATTATGGCCGATTAGGGATGTTCCCACCACCAGCACTTTATGTATTTGTATCGATTATCTGTTCTGTATATGAATTTTTCTGATGTGTTTAACGTATCTGTGTTTTAATTCATTTTTAACTTTTTAATGTAAGCCGCCCTGAGCCTGCCTCGGCAGGGTGGACGGGATACAAATCGAATCGAATCAATCAATAAATACTGGACCTGGTGCTATTACTGGAGAGGCAAGCTAAAGCCGCTGCCCAAAAGGCATTCTCCCTGTTTCTTCTAGCCCCCCAAAAAGGTCCTCTGCCTTCTCAGTTGATCTGACCATTTGGATCCATGCCATGGTTGCATTGAGGCTAGACTACTGCAGCGCCCTTCACATGGGCCTGCCCCTACAGACAACTCCAGTCAGTCCAGAACGCCAGGGCCAGATGACTATTGGGAACAGGTGGAACACACAAGTCGTACCCCCTCTGCAGATAAGAACAGAAGAACAGAAGAGACGCCAATGTTGGATCAGGCCAAAGGCCCATCTAGTCCAACACTCTGTGTCACACAGTGGCCAGAAATACCAGGTGCCATCAGGAGGTCCACCAGTGGGGCCAGGACATCAGGAGGTCCACTGTTAGATACTCGGTTGGTGACTGATCACAAGCAGGGTTCAGTTCAAGGGCCTGGTCATCACATGCAAAGCCCTCCGTGGCCTGGGGCCTGTGTAGCCGCAGGATCACCTGTCCCAACACGCCCCATCACAACACCTGTGACAAGTCTCCTGGAGGTGCCGCCCTGAGAATGGGTAAGGTGGGCAACTCACTGTTCACACGCACGCCCTGTGGTGACCCCTACCTTCTGGAATGGCCGGCCTGCATTGTTAGCTAATGCTGTTCTTCTGGTTGTATTGCACTGCATATTGTAGATCCAAGGCCAGGCGCTCCAACACGGTTTTTGGGGGTCAGAACACAAGAAAAGCCAGTGTTGGATCAGGCCAATGGCCCGTCCACTCCAACACTCTGTGTCACACAGTGGCCGAAAATACCAGGGGCCATCAGGAGGTCCAGCAGTGGGGCCAGGACACTAGAAGACCTCCCACTGTTGACCCCCCCCCCCAAGCACCAAGAATACAGAGCCTTACTCCTATCTAGACCTTGTGGCTAAGAGCCACAGATGGACCTCTGCTCCATATGCTTATCTAATTCCCTCTCGAAGCCGTCCGTGCTTGTAGCCACCACCTCCTGTGGCAGTGAGTTCCATGTGTTAATCACTCTTTGAGTGACGAAGGACTTCCTTTTATCCGTTCTAACCCGACCGCTCTGCAATTTCATGGAGTGCCACGAGTTCTTGTATTGTGAGAAAGGGAGAAAAGGACTTCTTTCTCGACCTGCTCTTCCCCACGCATAATCTTATAAACCTCGATCATGTCAGCTTCCAAGAATCAAAGCACCCTTCATCATATCTGACTCTCGAAAACCCCTGCCCCGAAAACCACGTTGGTCTCGAAAGTGCTACTGAACTCAAACGTAGCCGTTCTACCGCTTCTGATCCTGTCGGATTGAATTGTTTTGTTTTTAAATTTTGCAACCCGCCTTGAGGGTTGCCTTGAGACATAAACGAAGTCAATGAAGCCCGTTAAAAAGGTGCCAGCCCCAGAAAGACGCCTCCGTACCTGGTGCCATTGGCCATCGTTGATGCGCTGTCCCATAGAGACAGTGAGGTTTACGACGCTGTTGTGGATCTGCATTTCGAGTTTCCCCCCGCGCAACGCCAGCACGAACCAGTCGGTGCTGGGGCTCGTGTCCCCGTAGAAGACGATGCCTTCTGGGTCGTAGGTGCGGAGCTCGAAGAAGGAAGCCGCGCTGGGGAGGAGGAAACCGGTAATAGAACCTCTGCTCTGCTGGACTCCCCCTCCAATGGCTGTGACCAGCTGGACCCCACTTGGGGGAAGAAGAATTCTGATGCACTGGCTATAGGGAGAGACTCTTTTTTGGGGGGGGGGTAAGAGGTATATGTCCTGACCAATGCTCCCTCGAAGCTGTGGAGTCCTGTGAGCAAATAATTCTACTTTGTGAGCTGCTGGCATTAAAGCTGTGAGCGAGCGATTTGGCGGCTGCATAAACTAGTCTGCTCTGGAGCCCCCTCCTTCCTGAGCGAAGACAAAAATGTGTGAGCCAGAGGCTAAAAAGATGTGAGCTAGCTCACATTAACTCAGCTTAGAGGGAACACTGGTCGTCTCGTCTTGACCAATGTTCCCTTCTAAGTTGTGGAGTCCTGTGAGCAAATTATTCTACTTTGTGAGCTGCTGGCATTAAAGCTGTGAGCGAGCGATTTGGCGGCTGCATAAACTAGTCTGCTCTGGAGCCCCCTCCTTCCTGAGCGAAGACAAAAATGTGTGAGCCGGAGGCTAAAAAACGGTGAGCTAGCTCACACTAACTAAGCTTAGAGGAAACACTGGTTCTGACCTGATAGGGTGAGACTCTTGGCGGGGGGAGGGGAGTAAGAGGTATATGTCCTGACCTGAATGACCCAGGCTGACCCAATCTCAGAAGCTAAGCAGGGTCGGCCTTGGTTAGTATTTGGATGGGAGACCACCGAGAAAGTCCAGGGTTGTTCCGCAGATGCAGCAACGGCGAACCACCTCTGCTCATCTCTTGATCTGACAACCTGACAGGTGCTTTGGTGACAGAACCAACAGATCCTCTACCTGAAAAACGGTGTCCAGTTCCCTCATCTTAAAATAGTGGGGCCCTGGTGCAGAGACAAAACACCCGGTTTGCATTTGGAAGGTCCCAGATTCAGTCCCGGGCATCTCCTGTTCAAAAGTATCTTCGGGATCAGAGCCTTGGGGAAAGAGCTGACAGTTCCTGCCACTCAAGCAGTGTTCCCTCTCAGCTGAGTTAGTGTGAGCCCGCTCACCGTTTTCTAGCCTCCGGCTCACACATTTCTGTCTTCGCTCAGGAAGGATGGGGCTCCGGAGCAAACTGATTTATGCAGCAGCCAAATCGCTCGCTCACAACTTTAATGCCAGGAGCTCACAAAGTAGAATTTTTGCTCACAGGACTCCACAGCTTAGAGGGAGCCTTGGTCCAGAACCCCAGCGCCCTTCAGAAATGGTCTGTGCTGCATTCATTCCCAAGTGCTTCCTCTCCTCGAGAGGAGGTGCAGTGCTGTCAGAGGACAAATCAAGAGCAGTGTTCCCTCTCGGCTGAGTTAGTGTGAGCCCGCTCACCGTTTTTTAGCCTCCGGCTCACACATTTTTGTCTGAGCTTGGGAAGGATGGGGCTCCGGAGCAAACTGATTTATGCAGCAGCCACATCGCTCGCTCACAACTTTAATGCCAGGAGCTCACAAGGCAGAATTTTTGCTCAAAGACTCCACAGCTTAGAGGGAGCATTGCTCAAGAGTCACTCACTCTGAGCCTGATGACCCAGTGGATTGAATCATTAACAGAGAGCCTGACCAAAACCCCTAGGTCTCGGTTGCTTCCCAGCTAGGATTCCCAACTCTGCACCGGGAAATGCCTGTAGGTGTGGGGCTGGGGAGGGCACAGACTGAGGAGCAGAGGAGATTCAGCAGGGAGGTGATGCCAACAGCGCCCACCCTTGGAAACTTCCATTTTCTTCTAGGGCAACCGGTCTCTGGAGATCAATTATAATTCTGTGAGCGCTCCAGGCCCCACCTGGAGGTTGGCACCTCTATTCCCCGCCCCAACCCGTTTACCTCTTGACTTGACGCAGATCTATGCTGAGCGTGGCTGTCGGAGAGGGGTCTCCCCATCTCTGTCCAATGTTCAAAGCCCCTGCCTCCTTAGAGAGCCCCTGGAAGCACTGGTCATACTGGGAAAGGAGAGAGAGTGGGCATTACCTCCAGTCAGCCACCAGGAGGCAGCACTAAAAAGAAAGGGAGACCGGAACGGGTCGGGGGAAGCCGCTGCTGCAATGGCTTAACTATTCCACGCGGGGGCAGTCTTGCTACGGGAAAAGCCCCCTCGGGAAAGGCTCTGGGATTGATTGATTCATTCATTAAACGGGGCGGGGGGCGTCTCTCGTGCTGGTGCGGCCCCGGAAGGCTGTACACGCGCCGCGTCGTCTTCTCCGGGTTCACCGTCTCGTGGGAACGAAGGCGCGGGCTTAGGAGTGCTGCGTCCTCGACTCGGCCAGAGGTTTTCTCTTTATTTCCAGAGCAAAGGCAGGCGGGAGGGAGGGGCGTGCGGCAGCTCTTCTCCTCCCAGTTCCGAGCCGCGGCGGGGGAGGGGTGCGACAGATGACTCCTCCTCCTACCCTTCGACAGTGAAATGCGCAAAGGCAGGGCAGGCTGGCCCTGCCTCCCCGCCCTCCCTTCGGGCTTGCCGCCAGACAGGCAGAAACCCGCCAGGTCGAGTGTTCCTAATCGGGAGGGGGAGTGTCACCGGTTGAATGGCTGGCTGGCTGCTCTTTTCACCTCCCGACGGCGGGATTCCCTTTTCAGCGTGCCGGGGCTTGGCAGCTGGGTCTGGCGTTTCCAGACAGGGCTCCTGTGGGTTGTAGCAGGCAGGAGGCCTACCGGCAGAGCGTTCCCCCACCCACCGCCCGCCTCTTCACGAGCTCCCCTCCGCTCAGCCGCAGTCTGGGGACTACAACACCCATGATGCCGAGCGGCAGCCCGGGCGGGGGATCTTCCCCCCCCCGTTGCTGCCTTGCCTGCCGAAATGCAAGGCGAGGGAGGAGCCGGGAAGGATCGGGGCCGGGGCCGGCCTCCCAGCCGCTCGGCTCTTCTTGTGGTAGAAGGTTCCGCGGGCGAAAGCCCTCCCCTGCCGGGCGCACAGAGCACAGAATGGGGGGGTGGGGGGAGTCCACAGCCCGGGCGGGGGGCTCTTCTCTTCTCCGCTCCCCTCGCCTCCCTCCGGGGCTCGCTACGAGCCCCCCCCCGGTCCTCCTTTGCCCTCCGCCTCCCCGTTGCCCCGGCTCGGGGGGGGGAGCCCTCTGCACGCGCTCAGAGGCCCTTTGCGGGAGGCTGCGGGCCAAGCCATCCCCCCCCCGCCCGACTCACCT